TTTAATCAGTTTTAGTTAGTTCTTCGAGGTCCCTATCATTATTTGAGGCGCATATGAGCGCGACGGGTGATAATTGGTTAAGCTTATCGTTAATTTGGGCAAGTGAGTTTTGTGACTTTCGTATCTCGCTGCCATAGCGATCACTATAATGATCGATGTCGAATGCCCGACCGTAGCTGCTACCTTGACGTGGTGGTCAGGCTTGACTATCGTGATGACCTAATCGAGCTATATTGGCTGGAACATATGTTCCTGAAGGTTCTACCATGCCAGGCAGGTGGATTGGAGAACGATGAGACTAAAAGCAGCTACTTAAGGTCTGAGGGCGAAGTCGTACTACTGACTGCAGAGGGGTGTGACAGCAGTAAGGTGTTTCCCTCAGACAACCAGCATCTGCAGCGATGCTGCCTTCTCATATGGAAGGAAGGGTTAGAAAAGGTCGAACCTAGAACTGTTATACCTCACCCTACCTCACAGATTTCCGTCTCCGTCGGTAAGAGTGCCCACTGAGGGCTTTTAAGAGCGGAGCTAATACTCAAAAAATCTTTCATGAGAAGGCCGTGCGTGACCGGCCTCAAGCAGTTGTCCCTTGGGCTCTGTGGTCACGCACCCAGGTCTGCAAGACCAGCGCTAATTTACTTTCTTTTTCAGGCTCCTCAAGAAAAATTCCACGGTGTGGGCAGCCGGAAAGTGACAACCGCCCTCATACCCGTAACAGCACGCGAGACCAAATCGGTCAAAACCAAACCCTTCCTACACCCCCTAATACCTCTCTTATCTCAACGACTAACTCTTCTCACATTCATTTATCACAGTGCACAGCTAATGCAAACAATGCGAGTTCACGAAACGTCATTTCTGGTCTCCTGAAACCCCCGTTCTAGACTACATGTTGGAGCATTTAATGTACGGACATTATGTCAAATACGGCAACAGGCTTCGTTAGCTAGAACTTAAGAATCTCACACCATCGATATATGCTGCGTCTGGGAAACGCGCATACAGGATCCCAGTGAAATTATTAATCTGATTTTGCTTTGTCAAAACAAAGAAGTAGCTCGATTTACTCTTCGTGTATCCGGTAGCCCTGATACTGCTTCCAAGGGTCTCGCTGGTGTAGGTATAGCATTGAGTCGTAGGGCAGAACTAGCGCTCCTAGACTGGATCCCTGTAGATAGTCGTTTGTGCGCCGTCCGAATAAACGGGACAGTAAGGACTCGGAAGGATAGGGACACCCGTCGTTGCCTCTTCGTCGTATCTGCCTATGCCCCCACTGACTGCAGTTAAGACGAGGTGGAAGAAGAGTTTTACAGAAAGCTTTCGGACCTCCTCCAAAAAGTTAGGCACTATGATGTAGTAATAATGGCTGGTGACTGTCGCTCGTTCTGGAGCACATGTTTAGATTCAGATCATGCCCTAGTGCGAGCTCGTATTTGTTTGAGGCTTACTGGGCGTAGGAAAGACACCGTAAGAAAGCCTCTCCGGCTTTCACTTAATGATAATAAAGCTAGGAATATATTTTAGGAACAACTAGAAAGACAGTTAGGCGACCATATAAGCAATTCCCATCCGGAGGCAGGTTGAAATGATGTCAAAAAGGCTGTGGAAACAGCAGTGATATCTGCTATTAAGGCTAACCATAAGGCTAGAATGAAGCCGTGGATCTCTGTAGCATCCACCGAAATGATGAATGCCCGAAAACTCATCCCACCTGACTCTGAACATGATGAAGAACGAAGTCAGCTTAAGCGCAGGTTGATAAAAAGCCTGCGCAACGACCATGAACAGTGGCGGGTGGAGGAAGCAAACGCGATGGAAAAGGCAGCGGCGATCGGCAACACTAGACAACTTTTCCGACTTATCAAGGAAACTGGTATTAGGAATCCTACTGTAAGTGAGACTATCTCGGAAAATGATAGGACTATTATCCATTCTCAATCCAGGAGACTGGATCGATGGGCAGAACACTTTAGGGATCAATTCAACTGGCCTCGAGCCACTCTTCGGTTACCCACGATCTCCAGTCATACTGAATGTCAAATCGACGTAAGTCCCCCTAGTCTTAATGAAGTTGAGAAAGCGTTAGGAAATCTGAAGCGATGTAGAGCAGTAGGTCCTGATAGACTGACCCCTGAGATATTTAAGGATGGTGGTCCAGGTTTAGCAGCTAGGTTGACTGAGATCTTAGATAGAATCTGGGAACTGGACGTAATCCCATCCGACTGGTCTCAATCACTGATTGTCCCAATCTATAAGAAAGGACAGAAGTCTTCTTGTGACAATCACAGATGAATAAGTCTAACTAATATAGTATCTAAAATATTGGCCTCAGTAATACTTCGACGCTTAACGAAAGCTCGTGAAGAGCGAACTCGAGAAAACCAAGCTGGTTTTCGACCTGGACGTGGCTGTATAGACCACATCTTCACACTCAGACAGGTCCTGGAACATAGACACACATTTAGGCGTCCTACAATAGTTGTCTTCCTGGACATAAAAGCGGCATTTGACTCTGTAGATCGTGAGGTTCTGTGGCAGTGTCTGTCATTGAAAGGTGTACCAAAGAAGTACATTAACCTCATACAAGCTCTCTACTCGAACACCACTGGTCGAGTGAGGGCTTATGGCGAACTGTCAACGGAATTCTTTACTTCAAGTGGTGTCCGTCAGGGATGTCCACTCTCTCCATTCTTGTTTAATTTTATCATAGACATGTTCCTAAAAATAACCTTATCCTCGTCTGAATTTTCAGGAGTACACCTGTTACCAGGTGGCTCGCTTATTGACTTAGAATATGCCGATGACATTGTCCTACTTGGTGAACACGCTGACAAAATGCAGAGTCTTCTGACCACCCTAAGCAACAATGCAAGCATGTCCGCGATGCGGTTCTCACACTCGAAATGCAAAATGTTGCTTCAAGATTGGGTTTCATCGGCACCTGAACTACTGATAGGGAGTGAAGTAGTCGAAAGTGTAGATCGCTTCACTTATCTGGGGAGTCTCATCAGTGCTGATGGCCTGGTGACTGACGAAATCTCAACACGATTGGCTTTTGCTTCACTTATGGCGTAGTCGAGATATCCGTTTGCTGAATAAATGACGAGTGCACTGTGCAGCAGTTCGCTCCGTCCTACTGTACGGATGCGAGACTTGGCCATTAAGGGTAGAGGACTTTCGTAGGTTACTCGTCTTCGATCATCGATGACTCCGAAGCATTGCTTGTGTATCGTGAAACAACCGTACAAGCAATGCTGTCGTTAGGAAACGAGTTCTAGGTAGGAACGGCAAACCAATAAATGAAGTAGTGAAACTTCATCAGTTGAGGTGGTTGGGACATGTGTTACGTATGGCTAACCACCGACTACCACGACCAGCTATGTTTTGCAGTGTAGGAGTAGATTGGAAGAAAGCTAGAGGCGGCCAAACCAAAACATGGCACAAATCCATGAAGTCACTGACATGTGGACTGAGTCATGTTGGTAGATGTAGACTACCTGGTTGGGGTCTGCGAGACGAAAATAACCGATGGTTAGAGACATTGAACTACATGGCTCAGCATCGTTTGCAATGGCGCAGGTGCATCCACTCTTTGTGTTCTATGAAATTCTAAGCTTCTTCATTCCTCATAATCTCTGCCTTTCTCCTTCTAAATTTATCTTACTGAATTATACTTCTCGAATCAAATCTTCGCTACCTAATCTTCTCCATTACTGCTGATACTTCTATTATTGCTATCACTGTTGGAGTTGAACTGACAGTTGCTTCTCTGTGCTGATGAGGCATGGCAACCTGAAATGATGTACTTACGTACGAAGTTCTGTGTTGTATCTGTCTGAAACTAAGATTGTTGGGTTATTTTAAGAGCATGGACTGACTACTGATTTAATTTTAGTAGAGTGAAACTTAGAAAGAAATCCAGTACTTTATGGATTGGTTTGCATTTTGCTGAATTTATTTAGAATAATTCGTTGGAATCCCAAAAGCATAAAATGTAACGTTTGCAAAACTTTTACAACAACATGATTTCGGTGTAATGCTGCACAACTGAGCACGAAGATAAAGTTCTGTTCTGCAAATGCGATGAAATAATCCAGAATCTTCTAAACTTCTTAAGTAACGAAGAAGGAATGTTTGGGATCTGTTTAGCTCTCTTTCTAAGCAAATTGTTGCTTTAAGTTTGATCAGTATTTATGCCCAGATCAACTACAGCAAGTGAAGCAATCAGGTTTCATAACCACTATATGGTTGATATCTGACCTTAAAAGGTTATATATCTTAGAAAAGCCTTCAAAGTATTACTCGCAGATGGTGGGATAACCAAGTGATTAATAGTGAGATTCACAAAGTCGTGTGCGTCCGCAGAATGATAGACAGACCTTTTCTAACCCTTCCTTCCTTATGAGAAGGCAACATCGCTGCAGATGCTGGTTGTCTGAGGGAAACACCTTACTGCTGTCACACCCCTCTGCAGTCAGCAGGTAACATGTAGGTAACATGTTGCCTAATACCAGTTACTTCCTAACCTCACCCACAGACGTTCTGATATGAAAAAATCGTGACCAAGAGAAGACTTGGCATCAGTGAATGAAGTCACTAGTCATTATACAGAAGCCTATTGAGAGGTTAGGATACTGAGTAACTTTCCGATGATACTGCACAAAATTGATTGCAGTGACATATTTTTATTAATTTTCTATATTCTCTTTCACCATATGTTTATAATGTTATTTGACATTCTATTTCTACCAAATCATTCTTATTTTTTTGAAACACATTTTTTGCCTACTCTTTATCATAATGAAGTATGCTAACATTGCTTCGACTACAGTACTGTTTATCTTACTAACTCCACCACGCTATACTGATGATATAAGATATAGTAACTTGGATTGATCCAAAATGATGCCAAGTTTTACGTTATGGCTGAGTACATTAAAACATGAGGATACGTTTGGATTCCTTATGATCTGAAATGAAAAATCATCTCAAGCGACATAATTAACAACAGTTATATTCGTAAACAAAATAGATACAGTTTAATTCCTGCGTAATAAAGTATTCCAGTTGATCTTACTCACACGAGGTACATAACGAATAGTTACTGAGACACGTTTACCACGATGACATAACTGCGATTGAGTGCTTTCCAGGTTAGTAGCATTCCAATTGTGAATAACAGTAGCATTGTCAGCCAGTTCCTCAGAACGTCTAGAACAATCTTCATGATTTATTAATAAATCAGTTGTACGTTCAGCAATTCCATGCATATAATGTGTGTACATTTGTTCAGTAACAATATTTAAGCTACGAGGTTTCAAATAAACTGAACCAATATAACGATCATTTAATAATGTTGATTTTGTTTGCTATAGGAAAATGCGATTATACTAACATGAATAATTACTTGGTCTTCAGATGTATCCAAAGGCTCATAAAAATCCAAGATTCCATAAGAATTCAGATTGATTGTAGCAACAACGGGATAGTATAGTGGTCCATCATGATGAGGCTATTTAAATAAGTTTTAAAAATATACAAAATGAAGGCAAATATAGTGGAATTTAATATCAGTAACTCAGTAAACGTTAATTTACTAGGCTGAGCTTCACCTAATGAGCAAAAGCAGCAGACTTTAGTCCAGCTGAACATAAAGATAGTTTGAAATTTAAATAATCATAGTCTATCATTTTTAAGCATCACCGCAATTAGAAAAATTGAATGCAACGAAAATCGCATAACAGAATCTACATACCTGTCAAACAATGTAACTCTAAGCCCATCAATTGATTTTCTACATTCTAGGAGATGCATTTCATAAATAGAAACTAGATATTTAACATAGTATCACTACCAAGTTACGGCTTGATAATTTCAAATAAAATGACCATTGGATAAGATGCTAATATTAAACTAATGATATATTTGGGTTATCCCAATGAGTAAAAATATTAGAATTTCTGACGTTTCGTGACTCCTTTATAGTGAGTAAGTGATCGAATTAAATTTGAGCTTAAACTTGTATTCTACTCATTAGTATATTACAAATACGCACTTATGTTATAACTAACTTATTTTATCCTCTACCAACTTAAAACTTAGTCATAAAAGTCATATTAAACCACTAACTACTTTTTAATTCAATGTGCAACCGTCAACTAAATTTCCTAAATAAGCAAATATCTTGACAAATAAATGTCATTTTTAATTACATTAATTAATTTATACTAACTATGATGGTTGATTGTTAATATATATTTTCTAAATATGAGTGTATATGTCCAAGTTTGTTTATACCATACATTTGTAAATTAAGTCACTATTCAACACACTGATCGATCCCTCGGTCAATTCGAATACCGTCTGAATTGGCTGCCAAGTTTAAATCTGCATACCTCACGATTTGTTTGCATTCGTTTTCTTCGTTGCCAGTTTGTTAACCGACATGTATCTTTGAAACATATAACACCCAACAAATTCGATATCTGGAATCACGTTGTTTTCAGAACTTGCTATATAACGGGATAAGTCGAAGGGCATATAAAAAACTAACTCAGAATCTGAAATGATCAGATCCAGATGTGTCTACAATACTATGCTATTTCAGTCAGTTACAACGTAAAACTTCGTATGTACGTACATCAGTTCAAGTTGCCATACCACATTAGCACACAGAGATGCGAAGTGAGATAAACTTAAAAAGAGGAGTCCAGAAAGTTAAAATTTGGGAGAAGACAAAGAATGGATGCACCTGCACCACCACAAACGATTCTGAGCCATGTTATTCAAGGTCTCTAATCATCAGTTACTACTGTCTTGCGGACACCAACCAGGTAGTCTAAACTTATTAACATGGCTCAGTTCACTTGTCACTGACTTTATGGATTTGTGCCATGTTTTGGTTTGGTCACTCTTAGCTTTCTTTCAACCTACTCGCACACTACGAAACAGTCAGTCGGTGGTCGGGCATACGTAACAAATGTCCCAACCACCTCAACTGATGAAGTTTCAATACTTCATCTATTGATTTTCCATCCCTATCTAGTACTCGTTTCCTAACGACACCATTGCTCACTCACACTCCTGAGATAAGCGAAGCGGTCAACACGCTCAACTACTTCACTTCTTTTCACTAGTTCAGGAGCCGATGCAAGCCTATCCTGAAGCAATATTTTGCATTTCGAGGGGCAGAATCTCATTCCGAACATGCTTGTGTTGCTGCTTAAGGTGGTCAGAAGACTGCATTTTGTCAGCGTCTTCACCAAGTAGAACTATGTCATCGGCGTATTCCAAGTCAACAAAACGAATCTCTTGGCAAAAGTTCAACTCCTGAAAAGTTAGATGAAAGGTTTGTATCTAAAAGTACGTCAATGATAGAGTTCAACAAGAATGACACCACTCTATTTAACACAAACACTCAAAAATAACATCTATAAGATCGTATAGTTAGAGGACAAGCAAAATTAGAGCCTAATCTCGGGAGCTATAATAATAATAATGATACAATTTGAACTTAGTAGTCCAATAATCAAGTAAGGATCATCGTCATAATGTTTAGTAAGAATCCATGTCAAATGTACTGTTTTGCAAGTCAATTCTATATGGTATTCAGTCAGTCAGTCAACAACAACATAGAACTTAGCAGATCACCAACCAGGTGATCTACATCCATCTACATAAATCAGTCCCCAAACCACCCATTGATGATGTATCTTCTTTTGGTTGCCAATGGATTTAAATCATCTAACTCCTACAGCAGACAGCAACGCCCGTCGACGCACTTGGTGGTTGGGAATACAAAGACTCAATCACCTCATCTAATGGAGACACAAACGCGTCAATTGATTTGCTATTTTGACTAGTACCCTGTCTGACCTCAGTATTGCTTACTCAGTGGTAGCATATTACATAAGTAAAGATTCCAAGACGCTTATGATCAGATACTAGTAACTTAAAATACCACTTATTTCTAATGCCCATATTTCACAACCATTAAGTATGAGAGAACCAATAAGCAGTAAACTCGTCCTGCCTATGCTACAGGTAATGTGGGTTGGCAAAAGCCAACCAAGCTTTTAAAATCTGCGTCGAAATTTTGTCTGATATCAATGACATATTGTAAGTGTTTAAAAGGTAAATCACGAGTCCATTTGCGATTAGGCGACCAATTCTGATCTGTATTAGGTCAACATATAATCAATAAGACATAAAATAAAACCCACAGGAAATTTTGGGGGAAAAAGTTATACACGAGGATGCACGTAACTTTTGTGCTTAAATAACTAGATTGCGGAAAACGTTGACTTACAAATATACCTTGTCCTGGTTCATATTCATTCACCAAAGCATGATTCGCCTTGTTATTGTTGTTATCAAATAAACACAAATCAGAAACACGATTCATGTACTTAAGTAACCACTAAACAGACTGAATAATTAATTCATTCATGTGGATTAAACAAACCTGTGGAATGTTTTCAGTTAACATCCCTTTAACATCAGGAATTCCACCCCAATTTTGTAACCGTCTACGACGTAGAGAAACCCACTTTGGTAGTGGAGCAGCATAAATATGTTCAAGTAGTTCTTGTTCTTCTTTTTCATTGATGAAATCTGGCAGGTAAAGAACTTTTGGTGGCAATGTTTTGACGCAGTAACTATCTAATAATTTTAACATGACCACCTACAATCAATAAACAAGAGATAATTATATAAATGTTAAGGAGAGTAGCAAAGGTTTTATAAAATCCAGTAGTCAATTTGAATCAAAAACGTCTAGTAGACACAAACCGCGAAGCAGACAAATAACAGATCAGAACGGAAAGTACAAACAAAATCAAATAACTGACAATGGAGCAACGTGATCATATTAAATCGTATTGGAAACTGTATGTGTAGTGGATTATTCGGTTGATGAATGACATCAGGCGATCTCCTAAGAGACACTAGCATCACTAAGTCCTTCAAAAGAAATGCGGGTTTCTATGCTGAACATCTACTATATCTGATTTCCACCTTCAGAATTATTGGTCTGGGTTTTAGAGTGATAATTATTACAAATAAGACAAGATTTGTGACAATGATTAGAACTATTAAAACGAACTAGAAAAATTAATACTAAACTGCGCAGTAAAACAACTTATAACTGCAAGTGTTATTGAAGTTTTTAACCTTGCGAGAATTACAAGAATTCAAACAGAATGAAGTAAGCTCAACATCGTTCCTCATTCATCTTTTTTACAAAAGACACAGTGTTAATCATAGCTGGAAGCCAAACACCTAAAAAAATGCAAAAACGTTAAAGGGTAATCTCTACATCCAGGGAAAACAGATTCCCATACAATGTCTTATAAAATCTTTTAAATATGTAGGACCGGCGGAATGTTACTGGTTTTAGCGGTTCTCACCTAGCAAGAGGGTAGATTGTCTACTGAGGGAGCATGCAGAGTAGCGTGAGGGAATAACGGGAAAACAGAGCCAAAGAGGTGATCCAATGACCTAGCAAGCGCATAAAAAAGCACTAACATTTAGTAAGAGTGGAAACAAAGAAATCCAGCTATCACGCAAGCTTCGGATTTAAAATAATCTGTAAAGCGAAGGTTGCAGTATATAGCGTGAGGATTCTCAGCTGTTAAACTGGATCCTAGCCAAACCTCCCGGCAGTCGGATCGTCAAGGTCAAGGACGACCACCAATACCAACATGTGATGTTGCCTACTGAAAATATTTATCCTTGCCAGTTACCTGATATTCGCGATGGTGTAGTGGAACACTTCTACGAAGAAAACGCAATTAATGAAAATAAAATATTTGTTATTGTACTCGTCTTGTTTAACTGTACTGAAAACTTACGCGTGACCTTTCTTTCGCGTTGCTGCCATCCTTCGTGACTTTCTGCTCACTGTATCGCCCTCCTTCTCCTACAAATATATTCTTTACCATAGATTTATTTGTATTTCTTATGACGAGATAGTGATTAGTAATTAGTGGTGATCATAGTAAATCTCCACTTCGTCACCACTAGTATGGGATGATCTAGGTTAAGTATTAACTTCACGGCATGACTTCAACATAAGCTAGAAGATCACACGACTCCGTCAACCCTGTGTGTACCACAATAAACACTGAAGTTCGCAAACGGTTTGTAAAACAATACCACCTGTTTGATGGAATCGCAAAAAATTACAGAAAATTTTGGACATCAGCCATGAATTCCGTCTTCTCTAGTTTGCATGCTTGATCCAATATTCAACATCTTTTTCGCAAGCTATGAAAAACTGTTGAGACTCAGTGCGTTATCACCAGAGCTCAGTGGAGTTAGATAATATTTTTCCTCTATAAATCTGACTATAAATCCCAACCATAGTACTCTCAAGTTTCTAAAAACAGAAGAATAACAATGTAAATGATGTTAGTTCATGTTTACAAGACAAAACTGCTCTTGTAATGCAAATGAAATATCCTTTCAGAAACTAATGTTTATTTATTGGTCTAAGAATTTTAAAATTCAAGCTCGATAGCGATTTTATATCAACAAATCTGGGACAAGGAACGTATTTCTGTGGTAAATAGTAGGCCACTAGTTTTTGAATCGAGTTAATTTTGCCAACTATTTGGATTTGAATAGCAAGAAGGAAAGTCATCAATCAAAATTTGAACTTTTGATAAAAAAAATTAATCCAGATTGATATCCCCTGACGAAAGTTTGGGGAAATACTTAAGAAGTTCTTTAGAGATTTAGGGATTTCATATTAACTTGGAGTTTCTGGGAAAGTCTTCAGATCAAGGAAAACGTAGAGTTTTATTTGCATTTCCCCTGAGATGAAGAGTAAGGCTCTTCCACATTATCGAAACGACCTTCGTGAAAGACTGGTTTTACTATGAAGGTAGGCTTTAGCTAGGCAAAAACCGAAAAAGTGATTTCTCCTGCAACTGGAAAATCTAGAAATTGTAGGGCCTTTCCCAGTATGGGCTAATTATTACTTGTTTAGTCGTGGACACGAAATAAGAATGTATTGTAAGTGTTCCTCACGGGAGCTAGTACTTCACGAGGTACTTCAAGGTTCTGTTTTAAGTCCATTAATTTTCTATGAAATTAAATAAATAAATGAGCGGTGTATAGTTCCTCAAGCTACCCTTTAGGTATGACATAAAAATAAAGTGACAAACATCAGGTGAGACAGATGCATTGTAGAATCCAATTTGAAGGCTTTGTTTTGGGAAAATCCCTCCATGTACATATTTGTTATATGTTCTCACTGACTCTTTCTGTGCTACATTTCGGTACTCTGTTTAATCCGATTTTGCGATCTTAATATTTGTATTTTGTTATAGTTTCTATTTTTTGTACCTTTATTGGAGTTTCTATGTTTTCTACTGAACCGTATCTAACTTCTTCCACTGTTCTTCCGAATTCAGAAACAACTGAGAAACCCTAACAGCATGTGTAGTTTAGGCTGACAACAACATAGAAGTTGCTTATCATTATATAAAATGTGTTTACATGAACACTATTCATATGAAGTTTTCCCTTTTTCACAGTGATCCAAGAGTAACAGTGTGCCATGATCTTAAGACGACGGTCTACTACCGCGAATCTGCAGACGAACATATTTTAGGTTGGTAACCGGTATATCCACTACTGTGTGGTGATGTTTAGTTTTCTGAGCTCAGAGATCAGAGCTCAATGAGCTCGTCCACCTTAGCCACAAATTTTCTCCGCCATTCACTACTGTTGTGGAGATGGCATGACAAACTTATTTTGTAAACAGTTTTCGATACTATCTGTATTTATTTTGTTAATTTTCACAGCTTGTACATTCACTATGAAATTGTTGTACATTTTGTCTAAGTGTGTGACCTTGAATATAACAGGCGCACTTTCGGCTTCCATTTTCCGTTCACTGTACACTAGCACGGCACTCGCCGCTATACTATCAAATACACTTTATACATACAATTGGAGTTCTCGCATACTTATTGGATTATATCATGAAAACTAATACGTAGGTTATCTACTTTATAGACTGCAGTCACATACACATACTGATCTTTGGATTAGCATGGCATTTGGCATATTAAATTTACAATAGTTGTGGTGAAATACGACCAGAACAAATCGAACACGCACAAGTAGCTGCATAAAGTAACGTTCTGATATTTTTACTGTATTTATCGCATTTAACTGATATATTTCAATACACATTTATTGATATTCGATAACTTTGTTAATATTTTGAAATAATATATTGATTGGTCCACCACACTGTAAACACGAAGTAAATATGACCCAAGACTGAAATATTAATTCAGCTAGAATGTCCCGTCTAAAGAGCACCTCGGATATCTTGGAAACAGAAAAGGGGGTAGTCGAACTCTCAGTTTTGAAACTCCAGGGTGTACCATAACTCCACCAACAGAACCTACGGGGTTACCACCGGTCGGAAGCTCGGATAAAGGGGTAGGGGTTGGGCGTTGGGTTGGCGCCCCCATCCCATCATAAACAAACTGGCCAAAAAAAGCTTACCAGTAAAAATAAATCAAACCATTTCAACTCTGCCCTGAGAGTCGGAAGAAGAATTATGACGTCTCGTGACGAAAGCCGGGTTCCCTCGGGCCGATGCTTCTTCTTACAACCAGAGCATCCATTCTTTTAGGTTCATGGAACGTTCGTACATTGTGAGAGACTGGAAGACTACTTCAAGTTGCGGCAGAAATGAAAAGATACAACCTCGAGGTGCTCGTCATCAGTGAAACGCATTGGACACAGGTAGGATAACTGAGACTAGCTTCAGGGGAACTGCTGTTATACTCCGGTCATGAAGAGGAAAATGCTTCACATACACAAGGAGTTGCACTGATGCTGTCCAAACAAGCACAAAAGGCACTAATAGGATGGGAATCTCATGGACCCAGGATTAGGATCATTAAAGCATCCTTCAAAACAAAGAAAGAGGACATTACAATGAACGTCATCCGATGTTATGCACCTACCAATGACTACAATGACGACGTTAAAGATCAATTCTACGAAAGGCTGCAGTCAATCGTCGAGAAATGTTCACCAAAGGATTTGACGATTCTTATGGGAGACCTAAATGCCAAGGTTGGAATGGACAACACTGGATATGAAGACATCATGGGACGACATGGACTGGGAGAAAGAAACGAAAACGGTGAGAGCTTTGCAAACCTATGTGCCTTCAACAAACTGGTCATCGGTGGCACAATATTCTCGCACAAACGCATACACAAAGCCACATGGATTTCACCGGACCACACTACTCAAAACCAAATTGACCATATCTGTATCAACAAAACGTTCAGAAGGACCATGGAGGATGTGAGAACCAAGAGAGGGGCTGACATTGGTTCAGATCACCACTGGCTGGCTGCTAAAATGAAACTGAAACTGCAGAAACATTGGACAACGGGGCACACAACATCACGGAAGTTTAATACAAGCTTTCTTCGGGATACCGTAAAACTCAACGAATTCAGGATAGCCCTCACCAATAGGTTCCAGGCCTTTCAGGATTTACTCAATGGAGAGGAAGCAACATTGGAGTACAATTGGAAAGGGATTAAGGAGGCAATCACTTCAACAAGTCACGAAGTTCTGGGTCACAAGAAGTACTATCACGAGGATTGGATGTCTGTTGGTACTCTTCAAAAGGGTATTGTTAAACAGAATGAAGGACTTCGCAGACGCCCAACTTCTAGATCAACAGGCCGGATTTCGTAAGGATCGATCGTGTACTGACCAAATTGCTACATTATGGATCATTGTGGAACAATCAATTGAATGGAACTCACCACTCTACATCAACTTCATTGACTACGAGAAAGCATTCGATAGATTGGACAGGACAACACTATTGGGGCTTCTTCAACAGTACGGTGTGCCTGAGTAGATAGTCAACATCACATGGAATTCTGTTATATCAAACTGCAAAATTGTGCTCGGAGGACAGAGGATAGAATGGTTTGAGGTGAAGACCGATGTGAGGCAAGGTTGCTTACTCTCAACCTTTCTCTTTCTCCTGGTGATCGACTCGATTATGAAGACGTCAGCATCTGGAGGTAAGCAAGGTTTTCAGTGGACAGCTAGGACGCAGCTGGACGATCTGGACTTCGCAGATGACCTGGCTCTTTTATCACACACTCAACAACAAATGCAAGAGAAGACGACCAGTGTAGCAGTAGCCCCAAAAGCAGTATGTCTCTACGTGTATCAAGGGGAAAGTAAGATTCTGCACCAACTAAATCACTCTTGAAGGAGATGCCTCGGAGGACGTTAACACCTTCACATAACTGGGCAGCATCGTCGACAACCAAGGTGGATCCAATGCAGATGTGAGTGCACGGATCGGCAAAGCAAGGGCTGCATTTCTACAGTCGAAAAATATCTGGAAATCCAAACAACTTTCAACCAAAACCAAAATCAGAATTTTCAGTACAAATGTCAAGACAGTTCTACTGTATGGAGCAGAAACTTGAAAAACTACGAAAGCCCTCATCCAGAAGATGCAAGTATTTATTAACAGTTGTCTACGCAAAATACTTAGGATTCGTTGGCCATACACCATCAGCAACAACGTACTAAAGAGAGAAGAAGCCAGATTCCAGTGGAGGAGGAAATCAGGAAAATGTGGTGGAAGTGGATAGGACACACACTACGAAAAGCACCTAACTGCGTCACCAGGCAAGCCCTCAGATGGAAACCTCAAGAGCAAAGGAAAGGAGGATGGTCAAGGAAAACATCGCGCCGAGAAATAGATAAAGACATGGGAAGGATGAAAAAAACTAGAAAGAACCGTAAAGGGAAGCTCAGGACAGAGTTGTTTGGAGAAAACTGGTGGGCTGCCTATGCTCCATTGGAGGTAACGGGTGTCAGTAGGTAAGTAAATAGGGTGTACCATACAAAGGGCAAACTTTACATTAGGGTAGAAGGTTGCCTGATTTTCATGTGCAGAATACCTGATTGACGGTCTATTTTTCATTCAGTCTATATTGTTTAAACAACAACAGAGTGTTTGCAGCTAGATATTCATCAGACTTTTCTTCATGTTTTAGTATAATTGATATAATCAAATCCATTCTTTGGAAATAATGTTTTAAAATCTAGATTAATGGTGCGACGATACCCAATGTAGGGAGAAATTCAGGAGTATTGAGATAGGAGAATAAAAATATCCTTTTCGTTTGAATTAAGTTTTCATTGATACAATTTTTTGCACATCGAAACTTTCATGTTCATTTTCATTAAATCGACATACTATAATCTTTATGTTATTGGTTGCACTTTAGTGCTTATCGGTCAGCTTTCATTTCCAGTCTTCGCCTCCGCTTGGTTATCTTCGCAAGCTGTCTGAAATACTTTGATGAATGGTAAGACATTTAAATGTCTATTATTATCATTAGGCTCGTTATATTCAGTGGGTCAGGATTGTTTGTTGGCCAACGAAAACAACATAAATTGAAGATTTACTTCCCAAAGCTCTCTGCGAGTTGATTCGTATAAGTGATGATAAAAATGAAGGAATTTCGATTGTTCACAGACGTTCAAATGTGATCACTGTCAAGAAATTTTACTTTCACACAATGAAAAATTTGGTTCTAATAATTTCGTGTCATAACAATGATAATTATTATAATTAATTCTCAAATAACAACATGTTACAAGAGGCATGCCAATTTACGGGCAAGATCAAAATGCTAAAATTGGTAACATATTTTCTGTAAAATTCTGTTCGGCTACTTAAATATTTCATAAGAAACATTGGCTTCATATTGATGGCTAAAATGTTTTGCATAAAATTGTGCTATATTCGGCAATTATCCAGGCTAAATTTTAAAGATTAGGTTGAGGTGCTAAAAAATAGAAATATAGAGAAAGGGGGAGGAGCTGGAGGTAAAATATGCTTGCTTTTAGATGATTCATGACTCAGTAGATATTTTTTTGGATAAAACAGAGGTATGATTGCTGAGACCTTTCTTTTTGTATATTAGGACACTAACTGTACACCTGCACTAAAGTAGCTCAATGAAGATATGTCATTAGTAAGATAAGGAATTGGAAAACAATTTTATGAATCGAGTGGCTTCAAAAGGAATACGCTGTTAGAAATAATGTTGATTTACAGAATACAGTGATGAAGACACATTGGTCTGATGCTTTAGTGATATCTTAATAATCCTTTTTCTTTATAACTATGTAGCTCAAGAAGTCACGAGTGAGCTCGTTTAAACACGACCGTCCAGATCAGCTCACAATAGAATGTCTTGGTACAAAGTGAGATCAGTGCAAGGTTACAAACATAATTCGTAGATGTGGTTGAATTGGAAAATTATTTACAATATCACTGATTAATTTCATCCCGCTATTTGATAAGCAAACATGATGAACGAACATGGGTAGATTGAGGTTATCGTCCAACCGTCATAAATACTGGTGAGATACATCATCCTTCTTCATTAGCTGTGAACTGTGCCGCTTCGTATGTCTTGAATGTTACCATGCGAAAATTACCTGTCAGCGATCTCCTACGTTTGCCAGGCGGAAGTTTAATAGGTTGGTCAGAGTATACAAGGTTCTTGAACGAACTATGAGCTTCTGTTCTAGCAATAGTCATTTCATGGGCCAGAATGCAATCTTTTTAGTCCTTCTGTGACAAAAACCAGCTATCAAGGCAGTGAAAAATCTACTTCCCCTGGTGATAGGTTTTTAGGCTACTTCCTCAAGTTATTAGTGAAGCGATGTGAGGTTGAAACAATATAGCACAATGAAAATGATCCTGATTCAACAACAGTTTTTAAGAGATACATGAAAGAACTCAAATTCGAAGCTTAAAGTAATAGTATATCAGAACTACACACAATTTAAAATATTTAATAATACAAGCAACGTATTTACTATACACCTTGCTCTAGTAATGTCGAAGTACATTTTTTGGCCTATTTGATAGCAGGAAGTTCCAACAGCTTCGAAAAATGGGAGTAGAATGTTTCCTACATCAGTGACCAGTACATACTGGAACAACTCGACAGACGAGCCCCGAAATCATTCTGAGGACGTCATGAAGAGATTCTCAAGTCACTGAATCGTTGCATGTTGAAGGTGACCTTCTTGGGACCCAAAGAGTCATAAAAGTTCCGGCATATTCTGTGAAGTATTTATTTAAGCTAAATCTCATTACAAACATTAGAGAACAGACTCAGAACCTGGAGGCAAAACATAGCAAAATCGATATCTGGAACACCTGCTGTTTACAGGTCATAAAATTCTAGAATTTATCGCTGACTGAGGCGATGAAAGAGATTTTCCAGGAGCTTTTCTAAAAATGCTTGGAATCACAATGATTTAGGAAAGTATTTCTTCAGTTTACTAGTGATGGTATTGGATATTGGACTGGATGCTTTTGAATTGTCTACATTCAGGGTCATTGATATTGTGGCTATCTAAATGTCGTGGGAAATGATTGATAAAGATCAAGATATCAGCTTGAAGTATTTAAGCTCCATCCTAAATAAATGTAACAAGAATAATATTCACCTGTTTTTTGATCAGATTCATGATTCACTTCAGTTTCTGTTGCACAGGAAAAAGTATGTAGATGTTTTTCTCATGCATTGTTTTCAGAAAATTAAAAAATGACGAATTGGAGTTGATCTATAGAAATTACAGTCGGCTGTTCGAACTTTCAGAAGGCTTTGATCGATCAAAAACGCTTGTTGAATTTCTGGACGATATGAGTACTATCTTGTTTTTGATCACGACTGAAAATCCTGACTGCAAATTATGGTCTTTGTTGTCTGAAGAATGTTGTTTGACTATTGCTTCATCCCTAAAAAGCTTATTCTCGTCTATAAGCTGCAAGCAAGTCTTTTGTATCTTTAATTATGTAGTGAAATGATGTCAGTTACTGCACAAGAATGTTTGCCGACCATCAGCCATATCTGCTCCTTCTTATTGGGTATGAGCGAATATTCCAAGAATCGGGATGTACGCTGCAACTCACTTAGCGCCCTGTCGCTTATAGCTTTACCTGTAAATGCTTTTTCTAAGGCGAGCGATGATTTACTCAAAGGTCATCTTGCCAATTCGTTTAAGTGCTTACTACCAGGATTTTCCCAAGCTTTCTACAGAATTATAACTAGCAGTGATAAGGTTTGGTCGAGCGTCAGAGTGGTTTGTGTATTATTTGTTTTAAACATCCATTTAGGCTGCGTTCAATGCATGGTCTTCCATACTAATTTCTATTTTTGCAAACGAACCTAGCGTCGATAAAAACGTGGAAGAGAGTATGTTTCCGTTTTGTAAATATATTTTTGCTAAAACTAAAAAATATTTCTGCTAGGGTGAAACACTATCGGTGCAAAGTTATATAGATGTTTGTATCTAGTTCCTTTCTTTGAATATATGTTAAAGTATGCTGATGATTAGCCGAATTTTTCAACATAAGAATTTTACCTTTTAGAGTCCCCTCTATTTTTCAATATTTGTTGTATATAAAGGATCTGTCAATATCATCAGCATCAATCAGGTTTGTAAAACACCACATCAAATAAAGTATCCTCTTCGCGGTCGCCTATTAGGCTATTTAATACGGGTGTCTGGACTAACCTGTAGTCCTATTTTATCGTTTCTATTTTACAAAGTTGTCAAAACGTTAGCATTACAAAGTAATCAATCATGTTCCGTTGAGACTACATACTGTTTGTTTACAAGTAATTCAACAATGTTTCGTTTCCTAAGATTGAAGCAACTTATCGGGATTAGTGAAACTGGTCATTTTCAGCCAGCCAGTCAGTCAGTCACTTACAGCGTAGAACTTTGTACGTACATACGTCAGTTCAGATTGCCATACCGCATTAGCACAGAGACGCCACTGTCAGTTCAAACCGCATAGTGGTGGAGATATTAGACGAATTACAGGTGATGGAGAATATCAAGGACCGAAGATATTGTTCAAGAAGTATAGTTTAGTGAGAGAGAACAAGATAGAGATTATGAGGAATTCAGGTTAAAATTTGAGAGAACACATTCGTAACGAATGTCCCAACCACCTCAACTCATGAGGTTTCAATACTTCATTTATTGATCTCCCATGCTTACCTAATGCTCGTTTCCTAACTGTAGTATTGCTTACTCGGTTGTCCCAGGATATACGAGCAACGCTCCGAAGACATCCATAATCGAATACTAGTAACCTATGCATATCCTCTACTCTTACCGGCCATGTTTCGCATCCATATAGTGGGACCGAGCGAACTGCTGCACAGTACATCCGTCTTTTGGCTAGCTAACGGATATCTCGTCTGCGCCATATGTGACCCAAGTTGGCAAAAGCCAATCGAACTTTCTGTATCCATGCCGAAATTTCGTGAGTCACCAGACCATCAGCACTGATGAGACTCTCCAGATAAGTGAGGCGCTCAACACGCTATACTACTTCACTGTATCACTAGTTCAGGTACCGATTCAATCCACTCTTGAAAAAAACATTTTGCATTTCGAGGGTGAGAACCGCATCCCGAACATGTTTGCATTGTTGCTTATGGTAGTCAGAAGACTCAGCATTTTAATTTTTTGGAGTCAACTTGACCATATCAATCTAAACTCTTGGATGTAAAACTTACTTTTCTAGCCTTACTAATGACTCCTTGTAAATAATTAACTGATTTGATCATAAAGAGGTCTTTTCTAGGTATTTTACAGATTTTCTCGCCTCAAAACTTTTTGAATTCAGTATAGACATACTTTTCAAGCTGCTCAGGTCGGCAGTAAACCAATTTAAATCGATTCACTGTGAAACGTGACACAGTCTGAATCAACTTAATAAACGTGTAGTACCTGGTTGGAGTCAGCACGACAACCAGGTAGAATAGTGGTGGTTTATATACTTTATCTTGCCCCAGGTTTTGATCTATTTCACTCCGCAAACTCATGTCACTTGAACTATACTTTGTGTGTTTAGTGTTCTTCCCATTATTGATAATGCTATTTTGATTCCCTTTTTGTTCATCTTGATTGCGCTTCTCCATCCTGATATTGTGGGACGACCTGAGGTGATGCACTGTCGTCACGCCTAACATTGAATGCTTAGGTGACAACAGATATGTCAGTTAATTAGCCTCATTTAGTATAGTTTTTAATACAATCAGATGTGATATCTAACGAATACTTGACCATATGATTTAGTTTTATTATTAAACTAAGTACTCTTCCTCGCTGACCGATCGGTGGGAAGATATTTGATGTTGGGGAACCTGAAGAAGAAACCGGATTATTAGCGTCTCTATCGGTTGCTGTAGATGCTGGTTATTCGACGGGAACACCTTACTGATGTCACACCCTTGTAAAGTCTGCAGTAAAACTTTGTCCTCAAGCCTTAGGATGTTAGTCAGCTACAACGTAGAACTTGGTAGGTCCATACCTCAGTTCAAGTTGCCATACCACATCAGCACAGAGATGCAGTTGTCGATTCGAATCCCATAGTGGTAGAGGTAGTAGAAGTATTAGCGGTAATCGGAGAGATTAGGGTTCGAAGATATTATTCAGTGCTAGTGAAATAAATGTAAGAAGAGAAAGATGCAGGTCATGAAAAATTCAGATTATGATTTGAGGGAACACAAAGAATGGATGCACCTGCACCTATGCAAACGATTTTGAGCTATGTCGCTCACAGTCCTTAATCATTGGCTACTATTGTCTCTAGGAACCCAACCAGGTGGCCTATACCTACTAACATGGCTCAGTTCACTTGTTAGTGACTACATTGATTTTCTCCATGTGCCATTGCAACAGAAACAATCGCATCCAGAGCATGCTTGAATTGAATTGTTGCCTAAGGCGGTCAGAAGACTGCAGTTTGTCAGCGTCTTCACCGAGCAGAACTATGTCATCGGTATTTTCTAAGCCAACAAGTAAGTCTCATGGAAGAAGTCCAACTCTTGAAAAGTCAGACGTTAGAAGTCATAGCTCTAAAAGCATGTCAGTGACAAAGATGTACAAGTGTCGAAAACATGAACAGCCCTGATAAACAACATCTGACGTAATCAGTTCTGATGACAGTTCACCATAAGCTTTGAATTGACCGATAGGGTTCGAGGAAAGAGCTATAGCAGGACTACTGTACTTCGTTGGTATTCCTTTCAACGACAGACACTACCATAGAACCTCACAATCAAAAGAGTCGGTTTCCGGTTTCCTTGTTAATTACGAAGAGTTGTCTACCGTTAACTGTCATTGTTGCCTTTTCCATCTCCCTTGCTTTCGCTACCCACCACTGTTTGTGATCGTTGAGTAGGCTTTTTATCAGTCTGTGTTTAACCTCACTTCCCTCTTCATCATGTTCGATCAGGAGGGATGAGTTCGCGAGTATCTGTCAGTTCGGTAGATGCAACTGAAATCCATGGCTTCTACCTATCTTATGGTTTCCCTTACTGGCAGAGATTACCGCTGCTTCCACAGCTTTCTGGATATCATTCGAAGTTTCCTCAGGGTGGTTATCATATACATGGTTGTCTAACTGTTTTCCCAGTTGCTCCTGAAATACATTCTTAGCTCTGTTATCATTAAGTAGAACCCTAAGAGGTTTGCTTGCAGTATCTTTTCTACATCCAGTTAGACGCAAAAAATACTGATCTGAATCTAAACACATGTTCCGGAACGATCGGCAGTCTTCTGTCGAGCCTCTCCATTGGTAGCTGATAGTGATGTGATCTAGTTAGGTCGATTGTTGGGATGATTTTTGGGTCGTCATGTCAAAAATGTTTTTCCTTGTACTTAAAGTTAGTATTTTCTAGGATTAGGTGGTTATCTGAGTATAGCTGCAGCAGACGGTTGCCACTATCTGTTCAAACAGCCGCGACACTATAAGATCTATCCAGGTGTCTTTCCTTTTCACTTAGTCTCCTTACTCGAGCATTGAAGTCACTATTATCACGTTAGAGCGCCTAACTAAATGAAGGACGTCTGAAAGGTTTCTGTAAAATTCATCTTTTACCTCATCCGAGCTGCAGTCAATGTAGGCAGTGACAACGAAGAGGCGATGGCGAGTGTCCCCGTCTCTCCTCGTCCTTACTAACCCGTTTAGTTGGACAGCTCACAAGCGACTGTCTACTTAGATCCAGTCTTCGAGAGGTACTTCTGCTCTAGAACAATGGTCAACCTACACTACCCAGTTCACAGGAAGCAGCGGTGGGGTTTCCAGATACACAGCGTGTGACATATTTGGAGTTGACCTTTTCTAACCCCTTCCTTTCTTGTGGGAAGTCAGCATCGCTGTTGATGCTGGTTGTTTGAGGGAAACACCTTACTGCCTTCAAACCTCTCTACAGTCGACAGTATGGCTTCGCCGACACCTTGAGTTGCTGCTTTCAATTTTACCATTCTCCAGTCGACCTTCCTGTCATGGTGGGACCTAAAGGAACAGGTATTCCAGCCAATATATCCCTACTGGAGCACTCCCAAATGTAAGCTTAACTACCACATCAAGGTAGAAGACTCGGTTGGAATGAAATTCCATGTATAAATTGTCGCATATTGACTACCATTTTAATTTGGTGCTGGTTAAACTTTTGTAACATGTTCTTCAGTATTTTTAATTCCACTATATTCTGACTGCCATAACCTCATTTTATTTCATTACAGTGGACTCGACAAAAGAATGTGAACTCAATACTTCTGATTGGTTCAAAACAACTCAGTCTCACATGACATCTTTGGTTTCTAAAACTGTTGATAGTATTATTCACATTCAGTTGGAACTAGATGTAGACAGAAATTTACAACTGTCTGTTGCGTTTGCTCATTGGCTGGGTGTATTACTACTAAAATGTCATTCACTGACCAATATCGGGGAAAGTCAGGACCTTAAATACACTGTGGTTTCTGGTCTGCTTATGTTAGCCTCACAGTCGTCTATACGAAATTCGATATCAAACCAAAGTTCCCAAAAAGAAGGTAGTTATCTCGCTCAAAAATTGTTGACTGATTTTACTGCACTCCAAGAAAAGGATGTGAACTCGCTTATAGTTCCTAAATCGGTTAACAACCTTTTCGGTCATGAATTAATAAGGAAGATTGGTTTTGATTCTTTAACAGAGCAAACAGACTTTCTTTTAAGTCAGCTGTTCACTCTCTTAGGTAAGTTTACGTATATAGATTTACTTTCAATTTATAATAATTTCGAACACTTGTCAGACTTCATAATTTTTATTTTGTAAACTGAATTATATTCAGGATCACTTGTTGGGGAACGTTATTCTTATCATATTATAGGGTTGTAGAGATTGTTCAGTTCTTTCGAAATCATGAACCGATCAATATTAGATCATTAAAACCTGGTAAAACTGGACAGCCATTTCGTCCTAGTGTGGAAATCCTCAACAGTGCGCATCCACGATGTTGCAAAGGTGAATTGGACTCAGGACCTTCAGTCTCCTAAGGTCATCCTGTTTTTAGCTTCCAGTTAGCATCTTCCTGGGTTATTTAAACGTATTCATTGAACTACAATATAGATGACTGATCTTGATAATTGTTAGTCGCGTGGAAATATCCTATATTATATTTAGTCTGCAATCGTTGGATATGGTCGAGAAACACAAAATTTCTTAATACCGATGTCAAGTAGAATCCAATCCAAAATTATGTGGTTTAATTATCACTAACTAAGCTATGCAACTGCAATGATGAAAATCGAGCAGTAGTAGTAATAATAGATACTTTTTGTATGCAATCGTATTCTTCATCAAAGGGCACTCACAATTCGTTTTAAAATCATCTTAATGTTCTCAGTCACTGTATTTCTTAAGTTACAGTTTTCACCACTAAACTAATTAGTTATAAACCTATCTTTGGTCTCTGAGTTATTGTGTATGTGTAGTTTCGCTAAAGTTAAAGCATGCTGTCAAATTCGTACTTCAGTTCTTGTAATTTATGCATGGTTCTTACATTCTCATCTATTGGATTATATCTCCTACTCACTGGATGTTAATCTAGAAGTGTACAAGTTTCTTGGTTAAAGTGACCAAAATAACTATTTGTTGTTTTTACCGATGTACATTTGCCAAGTCTCCAGTTATTTATCCCAATATCTATCTGTTGATTATTATCAACTAATGAAATCTCGAATCCACAAATTCATTTATTATTGACGAAGTAGTTGTTAGTTGGTGTTCTCAAGTTCACCTAATAATTATCAATATCTTCTCTTTTAACACTCGATTGAGATTTTTACTGTAGGGGGGTGGGTAAAAACTATATTAACATTGAGTTTTAGTCATCTTTCTTAGAGGAATTATACCGTAGATGTGATTTTTCAATTTTTAACAAAACCTTAGCTCAATCATTTGAATACTCAGTATTAGATCAGTTTATTAACCAAATCAACTTGATATACTCCGGCTTAACAGATAGGTAATTAACTACGTCATGACTTACAAATTAGCACATTAGCTTGTACACTATTACCTAAACTAATAAAGTTTATTCATCTCTCCCATTATTAATTATATCCATAGTTTAAATATTAATTGGTATTGCCTCATACTTGATTAACTTTCAGATGAGTCACAATTGCAGAAGCGATTTAGAACAATCCTTGGTCATCTAAATGTTTTGGGTAATTTAAAATTGTCTATATTTTTTATATTTATCTTAATAACGTTGATGTAGTCTCCTGACTACAGTATTTCGATTAGATTTACCCGATTAATTCTTATATTTATTCATTTAAACAAAAATATTGGTACAAAGGATCACCTAGACACTTATACTTTACACAAATCAATGAATTTGAGTGCGTTGGGATACTGCCCGAGTGCCCAAACTGAAACAGGTGGTTTTTTTTGCGGACCACTCCCTAATCCTTTGACCCAAAAGTCTAATCGACAAGGCAATCGAGCAACATTAAGAGATGCAGTCCAGTGGTAGCCGGCGGTCAACAACAGGCTTGTCCCGTCATGATCCTGGAGCCCATGTGCAAAATTGGTTTGGAATGAGGGTTTTCCAACTCCCCTAGGTGCATACACCGTAACTACCAGCCCTGGCGGGAAACTCGTTTTTTGTGCTCAACTTTGTAAACAAAACCCTCCACCATGAGAAGGCAGTGACTTCCATTCCTACGTTTTATAAATCCTTATCACATTATATAACCTATGAGAAAGTGTGTATGCAACATTTTCATGACAGCGAATTGTAAGTTTTAAGATCTACGTCTTATTTACTCGTTTTTCATGTATTGAAAGCCGAGTAAATTACTTCAACCTCAACAGTATCAAATGTATTTTAGAGAATAGTCATGGACAGATGATGACATCATCCAGACTCATTTAGTTGATCTCCACTCCAAGTTCTTGTCAGTTGTACATAATAAACGGTTCCCTCTATAAATTCTAATAATTAATTTCATTGTTACTATTCACATGTTATGCATCATGACTTTAACAATTTCAAACAATTGATTACAATAAACTGTCTTGAAATAATGTTGAATAAACCGGCAACGATCAAGTTTTTATCTCCACAAAAATGTATCATTTTTACGGTTAAAATAATAGACTGACCTGAGTTATACAACCATCAAAAACCAGGAAGCACTAGAAGTGTTTTTTCCTAGTATGGGACTCCTCAACAGTGTGCATTCACAATTCTGCCACCAGTAAAATTCAGAAAATCTCCAAAAACCCTCTATAGCAACCTAATTTTTAGTTGGTGTTTTTATGTTTGCTTGATACTCTGCAATCTCTTAAATGTTTCAATCGACTAATTATCAGTTTAATGCTAGGAGAATAAGATTGTGTTAATTGATTTTATCCTAAATGAATGCTTAATCTGTCAAAACTTATTTTGCATTTTATGTGTTTTCGAATCAGACGACTATAAATTTCTGTGTTATTTTTCTTTTTACTTGTACTTGCTTCAGATCCTGAGGATATTTGTACTTTTGTCCATTCATCTGAAACTTTTCATCGCTTTTGTTCTGCTCTAGCCAAGTTTTTGAACTTCAATTTTAGTTCTGTTGAATTACAAGAACAAGTCAATTTGCTGCCACTAAATTACTGTCATAATTCTGGTAATTGAAATGAATTATTGAAGTTTCATATTCAGTATCGATTATGCGTTTTATTTAGTATTCTTTTTGTTTCAGAAATTCAAATGGTTAAAGTTGAAAACATTCAGTTGTCGTTGTTTGTATGTGCAAAACATTTTAATTTTATAGTTTACTCCACAGACTGACTTTAGCTAGAAAACCATTGAGAATCAGACAACACTGATCGGTTGTTATGCCTCAGTACGGTATTACTCGGTACTGGGCACAATTGACTCCGCTTTGATGTAAAATCTATAACTCAACAATCTATAATAGTAATAATTGTATCATCACTAGTGATTAATTTTAAGAAGGAACTTCTTGATTTCGACTACGAAACCGTGGCTAGTAAAGTTCACCCATGTCGAGTGTGTTGGGCTTGCCCACCAGTGATATTTGAAGAGGGTTGTGCAATATTGTGAATTGATGAAAGTTAAGCATGTGCAGCATTGGATGTCGATTCGTTGGCCCAAAAGGTAAGAGCTCGCTGCAAGACCTAAATATTCTGAGTTTAGTTCCAACCTTTCCCACATACCCTTCATACATAATATAATGAATGTTACTACAAAACCATCTTTCGACGAAGCTCTACTATTGTTTGCGGTATGTGCGTTTAATATTGTGGAAATTTCTGGTCGATGACCTTATAACCCATGGGCAAGATGCTGTTGTTGCTAAGATGTTCAACAAACCAATCTGACTCATATCAGACGTACTTATCAATGCTTTGAAGGAAAATTTTCAAACATTTCGATGAATGACGACTTTCGAGCATCCTTGGACTGATTATCAGTATGTTCATCAAGGACGATACCATGTATCCGAGTGATAGTTGTTCATGAGATTGGTCTATTAATGCAAGCACTCATTGACTGTGCTTTGGCAACAAGAAAATTTGATTTAAACCGTGAACTAATTAGCGTTAGATCGTCACTAAAAACCAGGAAGCACTGTATGACGGTATCTTCATCTTGGTTAATAACGGTAATGGTAATGTGAATTCAGTAATTGTACGTTATGTCAATAGTTAAAACTTAAAAGAAGGAGTTACAAATTTTATTGGATTGACTGTTCACAGATAGTGGCGTTTATTCACATAATCCAACCGACAACAGATTTATCCAATTGTATTTCTGGTGAATAATGATGGACTATAAATTTTATTCGTAATCTGTTTGTTTAACTATCAAATAGTAAACTAACTCGGTGGCAATATGTTTTAATTTTTACCACCGAATAATGTTAGAATGTCAATTTCAACAAGAGCATCCCAACTTACTGTTGATAATTACGTTATTGATTTAAAATTCTCTTCGTCTTATCTTACTGATTTTGGCTAAACTAAAGCATTCTACTCTATTGATTCATAACGTAGTTAACTTGGTGACTAGACTGAACTCATGGATTATAGCAATTATCTTCTATCTCGTTTATTGTTTTTACGTAACTGCATTTTTTTTTGCTAGTTCAGTGTATTGGAGCAAATACTATACAACCGTGTAATCTATTCCGGAAGTCATTTCAATATTTTCGTGATTACTCAACATTGATGCTAATTCAAGCTATTGCTGGAAAAATAGCATCTCAAAGTAAGTTTGTCTCGATTTTCTTTTATGGGATTTTGTCTGGTTTTTTTAATGTGTGTTTACTTAAATGGCCAATAATCCACATATCCGAGTAACTATCGTGTCTCCCGTAAAATAGTAGCCAAGGCTATCCGCTGATATTTATGTAAGTACCTGGGTTCATTCCCAGGAATCAATTGTTTGACACTAGAAAACCTAAATTTCATTCTTTTAGTTAACCGGTAGTATGTGCCTGCGTATTAGTTTTGTCTTATGCTGGCATATCTTGCAGTGTATGAAACTACGTATTGCGAAGTATTTGCTTAGTGCTTGTTACTTTTGAAGTAGTTTTTTCACTGGTTTCACCTTTTGGGGCAAATTAATTTGATCAATAATAATAATGATAATCTTTAGTACGTGATCTAAAATATTCTAAATTTTCAATAGCTGCTAGGATCGCTTCTTGTTCTCAACTGTGGAAATAATACGATCTTCACGAACTCGTCTTTTGTACAAGTAAACAGTGTATTTTTTCTAAGGGCTATTACACATCTATCATTTATTAGTGCATTATACATGGCATACAGTGATCACTGTCTGTACCATGAACCTTTTCCGCAAAGAGTCATTGTTTCATATTTTGAAGAATATCAAAATTTATGTTTCTTTTAATTTTTACAGGAGAAACAGTTGACCTATTTCTGGATATATGTCGAGATATTATGATTGAAAGTGATAATGCTCTGCGTAATTCATGTCTTCTACTTATCGTAGGTGGAATTGCTGGTTATATCTCTAACAGTACGTTATTCAGTGGTAATTGTAGTCAATTCAGTTTTGTTATCTCATAGCTATGATTCATTTCAAGTACATAGTAGCATATTTTTCTGATAGTTCCATCTATATTGTTTTGTGAAAGAGAGTTTTTCTGTTTAACAGTATGTTCAACTATAACTGGATTTGTTGATAGAAGTGGTTAATTAATTGTTGAAATCTTTCAACAACTTTACCATTTAGGTCCGAACACCAACTAACTTGTTTTGATTTGGTCAGCTCAATAGTTTCGTTAACTTTCATACAAACAGTGTAATTTATATCTGAGTACCTAATATTTTATTTGAAAAATGAGTTATACCAAGGGATTTCTTAATTCCGAAATCTTTATTTATAAACTTTTCGATTGTCGTCAAAGTTGTCATTTTTTATCTTAATAAAAGGAAATCTACTAGCGAGTGCACATTTTTAGTATTTATTATATTATTTTTTCGTGTCTCATCTAACTTTTCAGGAGTGGACCCTCTAACAGGAGATTAACTGGTTGACTTAGGATATTTCGATGACAGTTTTATTTGATGAAGACGCTGACTACCCTGAGCAACAATCCAAACATGTTCGGGATGCGGCTTTCCCCCTCGAAATGCAAAATGTTGCCTCAGGATTGCGTTGCATCGGTACCTAAACTAGTAATAGGGAGCGAAGCAGTTGAGCGTTCTGACCACTTCACTTATCTTGGGAGTCTCATCAGTGCTGATGGCCTGGTATGTGACGAAATCTCAGTATGGATACAGAAAGCTCGATTGACTTTTGCCAACTTGCGTCACCTATGGCGCAAGCGAGATGTCCGCTTGCTAACCAAATTACGAGTGTACCGCGCAGCAGTTCGCTCCGTCCAACTTTATGGTTGTGAAAGATGACCGGTAAGAGTGGAGGAAATTCGTAGGCCATTAGTATTCGATCATAGGTGTTTTCGGAGCATTGCCCGTGCATGCTGGGACAACTGAGTAAGCAATACTATAGTTAGGAAATGATTACTATTTAGGGATAGCAAATCAATATATGAAGTATTGAAACCTCATGAGTTGAGGTGTTTGGGACATGTGTTACGAATGCCCAACCACTGACTGCTTCGTCGAGCTATGTTTTGCGGTGTACGAGTAGTTTGGAAGAAAGGTAGGGCCGACCAAACCGAAAAATTGCAGAAATCCATGAAGTCATTGACTAGTTGACTGAATCATGTTAGTAGATGCAGACTACGTGGTTGGGGTCCGCGAGATGATAATAATCGATGGTTAGAGACCCTGAGTGACATGGCTCAAAACCGTTTGCAATGGTGCAGGTGCATTCATTCTTTCCTGTTCTCTCAAATCTAACCTGAATTACTCATCACCTTTTTATTTTTAAGTTTATTTCACTAGATTCCACCTCTTGAATAATATCTTCGAACCCTAATCTCTCCAATTACTGCTATTACTGATATTACCTCTGCTACTATGGGATTCGAATTGACATTTGCGTCTCTGTGTCAATGTAGTATGGCACCATGAACTTATGTACTTACGTACGAAGTTCAGCGTTGTAACTGACTGAGT